ATGCTTCATTAGAAACACCGCGTGCTAATAAATAAAAAGAATTGCACGAGACAATATAACTAGTCAAAAGTACACCGCTCGACGACACTACTTGCAGTACTGCCTTGTACTACCCAAGTACTACCTAGTACACAAATTCAGGCTTTAGTCTGCCTAAATACCATTCCTGCACATGTATTGCCTAAGTAGAAACTTCCCAGCTATCTACTAATAACAAAAATCTAATCGACTGCTCAGAAATAATATGTAAGCCACCCGACAGTATACTTGCAGTACTGCCTAATGTACTGACCAAAATTTTTTATAGCTACGGACCAAAATTGTTCATCCATCGATCTTTTAACTAGCCTTTTTATAAACAGCAAAATATTTATTTATTTCAGGTTAAAAACGAAAATTCGCCAAAAATTGTTATGTTGGTGCTCCTTCTACGTACCTATCTTGGTAACGGTGCTACCTAGGAACCTCGAAGGTACCTCCTATTTTAGAAATTTTATCGGTCTTTCATTTCTCTTCTAACATATTTTCTTTAAAAATTAACAGTTTTTGAATAAATGGCAAATTTAGAAAAATGCTAAAATCCAAGATGGCGGCGCCATTTGACAATGGGAGGCATGGGGACTTTTAGTATGTTCAACAGGACCTTTAAAACTATCAATTAAGACTAATCGCAGCTTTATGTTATTTTGTTCTCAATTAGCCCTATAGGAAATTTCTAAGTGCCCCGCATTATGACACTAAAGTTCCTTTATTACCCTTGACAGAAGTCAGAGTTAATTTGATTGAAGTGACACATTACACTACTCTCAAAGTTATTTCTACTTATTTCGATTTCTAGCGAGTAGCTGCTGCCTTAAATTTCAAATTTCTACTGTGGTGTTAGTGACTACTATTATATAAATTAGTACAAAAAATTTAATTATTAAATTAAAAATAAAACAGTTTTTTTTATTTATTAATGATATAATATTGTTTCCCAATTTTACATTAAGATTCATCTCATAAATCTATCACGATGTTAGTGCTGTTGCCATCGCTTGTTACTCAAGTTGATCACGTGCATCGGATATTGTTTTGCGATTACTTTAGAATAAGTATAGAACCGTAAATATCAAAAGTTTACGAGCTTTCATCTATCTATGAAAAAATACACCCAAAATAAACAGTTACTACTTTTAATAACCTACCTGGGGGGCGTAAATTAGCATTTATTTGAATCATTATATTGTCAAGTCGCGCACAATGTGTTGCAATTGAGTAATATTAATGAAAAAAAAAAAAAAAAAAAAAAAAAAAAAAAAAAAAAAAAAATCATTAAAAATGTTTTTGTAAAGGTACTGCAATTATAGTAAAAATTACATATAGCTACACTACCTTGATTGATCAATTGTCCAGAAATAGAAAAAATAAGATTTTTTTCTCTACTAGGTATTTCCATTCCATTTAATTATTTACTAACAATTTTCTACTGAGGTAAATTTGGAGTTGGTTAAATCAGTCTTTATTTGCATTTAACAAAAGACCTTACTAAAATGTTTATTTAGTTAAGTTATTTTTTAATTTTTTTTTTTTTTTTTTTTATTTTTCTCAAAAATAATGGGAGTTTTAAATATTTTTGTATCCCAAAAGTCATCTAAGTGTTCGGATGTGGATGAAACATATATTATCCATGAGCACCATTGTAGCGAGAATCCAGCCTTCTTGCAATTCTTGATTTATTAGATGTCTATTGGCCTATTTTACTGCGGCCCTTACGGATCTATTGTGATACTTTATTGATCTCTAGGTTATATTCTACAAGCATTCTAAAATCCTATATTCTTTTCAAAGAGTGTCCTACTAAAACGTCTTTATATTTGTTTGTCATCTGACAGTCTCTTGCACTGATTTAAAATGAGTTCTGCCTTTCCTTCCTTGGTTTCACAAAAATTGCAAACTGCTTCGTCGTCAATGCAATAAGCTTCAGATGCCTAGTGAGTTTCCAATGACGTGTTATTAGACCAACTACCAGTTTTAACTCTGCCTTTGCTTATGAAGTCCGCTGTAAACTTTGGCGGCTGTCTTTACCCTGGTTTGACCAAGATTTGTTGACCACCCACTATTTTGTGACCATTTGTTATTCCAACGGCTTCAATGACTTCAAATAAGGTTCTAATTCAATAGTGGCATATTGTAATATGCCATTCATAACTTTACATATGGGTGGTGCATTTTATCAGGAGCAGAATAATTGTAACAAGTTCACATTCATGTCACCAAATCGTAGAAAAACAGGGGCACCTTAAAAAGTTTCATGTATTTTTAAGTTTTTATATATTGTGTTATAGTGGAACGATTTTGATAATCTTTTAAACAACTTGTAGCTAAATTAATTGGGTTTTTAGTATTTCTTTCTAAATTAAGAAGTGAAAGTTCCCATCTGTTAATTAGATTGGGAACAAAAAATGGTATTATTTTTTGGTAAATGTTATCACATAGGTGAATCCTTTCTCGATGGTTTATTTTTGGTTCATCTCCAATAGCTTTATTTTTGGATATATTATCGCTTTTGAAGAAGACTGACATTTTTTTCGTAATTTTTGCATTAAAACCATGTCTTTGCTTTTTTGTGTCCGCTATACGAGTAGATTCTTTAATTGAAGATTTTAGAAATTAAAACTAGATCGCTAATAGGTCAAATTGGTGTGCACGAAGTAAAGTGCAGTCGCTTCCTTGAGACAAGTTCATATCCTATAGACGTTCAGGAATCTTTGACTGAGAACTTCGAATCGAGACGATCGACTTATTGTTTATCGATAAGAGACCGCCGCGCCCTTCGCCAGCTTTTCAAATTTATAATGAATCGCCAAGATGTTATGATCAACGCCAAGATGTCTTTGTGTGCTTCATAGATTATCAGAAGGCTTTCGACAACGTTAAACATGATATTCTCCTAAACAGACTGCTCGAGATAGGAATAGACGCCAAAGACATTAGAATCATACAGGAACTATATTGGAACCAAACCGCGGAGATCAGAGTTAACAAAAACTTATCCACAGACACCTTCAATGTGTGTCAAGGAGTCCGTCAGGGCTGTATACTGTCACCAATACTTTTTAATATATACGTCGAAAAAATATTTCAAATGGCTCTGGAAGGAGAAAGTGGAGGAATTAAGATTAACGGAGTTCCAATTAGCAATATTAGATATGCAGATGATACGGCAATACTAGCACCAACTTTAGAGGATCTCAGCAAATAATAAATAAGATAGGGGACACGGGAAATCTTTTCGGTCTTAAAATTAACGCCAAACCAAGACCAAACTTATGGTAATAGGACGCCAACCTACAATCAATACCGCATTGACCGTGGATTGAAATATTATAGAGCGAGTTACACGATTTAAATATCTGGGTACCATGATCAATGAACGATGGGACTCCGATGAGGAAGTTAAACTTAGAACGAATTATGCAAAGTCAACATTTTTTAAACTTAAAAACTTCCTATTAGCACGCAGTCTCCCGCTAACACTTAGACTACGGGTAGTGAAATGCTACATATGGCCCATCTTACTATACGGCGCCGAAACCTGGTCTCTCAAGGCTAGAACCCTGAACCTCATCGAGGCTTTCGAAATGTGGACTCTCCGGAGACTCTTACGTGTGCCATGGACCGCACATACCAAGTTTAGAACTGCAGGCTATGAACGAGAAATGCTTAATATAATTTAAAAAGGAAAGTCTTATACCTCGGCCATATCCTTATAGGAGACAAATATTACATTCCTAAGCTAATTCTACAAGGAAAAATAGAAGGACGGCGAGGCCCAGGAAACAACATTCCTGGCTAAGAAACATACGGGACTGGTGTAACATCAGCGACGCAGCCACCGTATTTCGAAGAGCCGAAAACGGCACTCATTGGATGAAGAGTACAGACAATCGTCAACGTGCGGCTAAGCACAAGGCACAGGAAGAAGAAGAATGAATTGCACCTAAGGAACGTACATGTAAGTGAACAGACTGAGAAAGAAGAAATTAAATGAAGCAAATCTTATCTCAAGAAGGCCTGCTTCCACAGGACCTAACTTACCTAATCTGTTGAATAGAACCGAAAACAAAGACATGGGTTTAATGTAAAAATTACGAAAAATATAGTGTCTTCTTCAAAAGCAAATATATCTCTAACGAAAATAAATCTATTAAGATGGACCAAAAAACAAACTATCGAGAAAGGATGTATACCTAGAAGATAAATCGGCACATTAGAACAAAATATATAAAACTTTAAATTCTTTGTGGCCGTTTTTTGTGCCGATGAGTGTAGATTACACTATCTGAAATTTAGTAGAACTTGTTTCTGTTTATATTTAGTGAGATGAACAAAAAAGGGGGCAAAAAGTTGAAGCTTGTGTAACAAATACTCTTCACCAGACCATCAGTGGTTATTATTAACGTTTATTTTCGCTTTGGGTGGTAGTCCCTTTCACCAATATCATTCAGGACAACCGATGGATAGTAGCTCGCCATGAGATATGGAGCACGCTATCACTGATTATTCATTATTGTGTTAAGATCAGGCGATAGAGCAGAGACATCTGCTGTATGATAATACATAAATTAATGTTGTTGCTTGCAACGATACCACACTAACATCATTTATTAAATATTTGGCGACTGTGTTTCAGCGGTAACATATTTTTGTAATATATATTTGATTAATAAATAATTATAAAATCAAAAGAACTTACCTGAAGTTCGATTTTAATTATATGAGGCGTCATTTGAAAATGTTTTACAGGGAAAAAGGGTGGGGGGGTTGTGATATTTTCGGAATGGACGCCTCATATAATTAACATCGAACTTCAGGTAAGTTCTTTTGATTTTATAATTATATTTCGGCGTCCATTCCTCAATATCACATAATTAACAACGTAGATGTTCGGAGAAAAAATATTGTAAAACATTTTCTTTAATTATTAGTCAAATAAGAACATAAGTAATAAAAGTCCACTAACGAAAAACAGTATTCAAAAAGGTGTCTTCTTCCAATAGCGGTCTATTGTAGAAGCGACCGAAAGTTGAAGAATTCTTACTCCACCCAGCTGATGTGCGAATAGTTTCATAAGACAGGCCTTTCCTTAAAGCTGCCGACGTGGAAGCGTGTCTCGTGGAATATGCAGTAAAGATATTCATATCTATTCCTGATTTTCTAAGAGTGTCCTTCAGCCAACGGCTTAAGGTCTGTTGAGTAGCAGGGCCGTGAGGTTTCCTATAGGTCAGGAAAAAACGATCGCAGGTAGGGTCTCTAATGCTGTTAGTAACTTCAAGGTATTGTTTAATTAGAGAGGCAACGCATAACTCTGGTTTTTCGGCAAAGTACGGGAAGTCTAGACAAGGTTGATTTCTATTGGGACCAGAGGTTTTGGTAAGTTCATCAATGAAAATTTTTACGCCATTGTCGCCTATTCTAATTTCCGAACACTTTATCAGAGCCAACGTCTGGATTCGTTGTCCAGTAGACAGTGCCATTAAAGTTACTAACTTACTGGAAAGCATTTTCAGACTGGAATCTCCAGTGGTAACAACTTTCTCTAAAAAATAAAGCACCTGTTGGGGATCCCAAATGAATTTATATTTAGGTTTTGGTGGTCTTGTTCGAAATATTCCCTTCATAAATCGTTTTATACTGTTATCCACTCCTAGATCTCTGGACAAGATCAAAGAAAGAGCAGAGCGATGAGAGTTAAATGTGCCGTAAATATTTCCGGTAGAATTCAGCAGACTCTGAAGGAATCTTAGAACATCAGAAATGTTTCCAAGAAACGGAGAAATTTGGCTCTTTTGGCAGAACTGCCACCAAAGTTTAAAAGTCACGTTGTACTGCATAATTGTGGCAGGGGCTAACGAGTTTACCATGGTTTCCAAAACCTCTTCAGGAAGACCCTTTAGCCTAAATGCTTGCCTGATAACACAGTGGCTACCAGGATAAGGTTCCGGCGTAGTGGGTGTTGTTCTTTGCTGTAAGGACAAAATAAGATATTATCGCTAGGTCCAAAAAATAGTTGATGACCCACGGTCAACTTTTCGAACAATGGGTACCAAGGTTGTGACTGCCAAAAGGGTACCACCACGATACCTGTCGCCTGGTCAGTCACAATCTTTTGAAGCATTCTAAGGACAAGTGCAAATGGGGGAAAGGCGTAGAACGATAGCTTTCCCCAGTTTAACGTAAATGCGTCCACCGCTTCCGCCATAGGGTCTCTAAACCACGAAACGTAACGCTTACATTTGAAGTTAAGGGCAGACGCAAACATGTCTATATCTGGAACCCCGAAAGATTCCGTAATGACCTGGAAAATATGGTTTTCTAAAGACCATTCTGTGTCAGATCTTAAAACACGTGACTCGGCATCCGCTTCGATATTTTCGCTTGATTGTATATATGAAGCGAAAATATAGTTGTTTCTTTGTTCGCAGAATTCCCATATCTTCCTAGTCATATTGTTCAGAATATTATGTTGGATACTACCCATTCGATTTACACATGCCACTGCCGTTGTGTTGTCACACCTTATCAGAATATGACAGTTTTTTAAAAACCTAGTAAAACATTTTAGACCAAGATAAATTGCCTTCAGTTCCAAAATGTTAATATGACTGTTTCTATCAGAGCTGGCCCACCAACCGTGTGTTTTTTCACCCTTACAAACAGCTCCCCAGCCAGATAAACTAGAATCGGTAAAAATTTCCAGCTGAAAGGAATCTACCTTTAAATGATTATTGGCTGAACAAATTGTTTGATGCCACCACCTCATGTCATCAATCATATCGTTTGTTATTTCTAAACGAGCGTTATAGTCGCCACCGTTATGCCGTAAAGCTAGAAATTTTTGCCTTTCAAAAAGTTCGGTGTGCAACCACCCATATTTTACAGCTGGACAAGCTGCTGTAAGAATGCCCAAAAACTGAGCGAACTTTAGAATTTTACAATGTCCTGTTGACATCAAAGTATTAGTCCATTTTAAAATGCGATCTTTTTTATCGTTTGGCAATTCTAAAGTAAGGCTCTTTGAGTCGAAAATAAAACCAAGATATTTGCCTCTAGTACTGGGTATAACGCAGCTTTTCTCTTTATTGATAATAAAACCCAGATATTCTAACAAGGTAATGGTTTTTTGAATATTGGAATGACATTCGACTTTTGAAACTCCTAGTAACAAAAGATCATCCAGGTAACTAACACATATCACCCCGTTGGATCGCAGACGTTCAACGGCTGGTCGCAAAAGTTTGGTAAAAGTGTAAGGCGCTGATGCGAGGCCAAACGGAAGGCAGCAAAACTGATACAGTTTGTTGTCGAATTCGAAACGTAGAAATTTTCTATGTGTTTTATGAATAGGTATTAAGTAGTACGCATCTTTTAAATCGACTGATGCTGCAAACATATTTTTCTGTATTAGTCTTGCTGCCGTTCTTGTATCCTCCATCTTAAAATGGGGTGCGAGAACGAACGCATTTAAATTTTTCAAATTTAATATAAAGCGTTTCTTCCCATTTGCCTTGTCCGTGAGAAATATTCTTGAAATAAATTGATGTTGTGATGGTCCACAACGTTCGATTGCTCCCTTTTCCTCGAGTTTTTTTATTTCCTGTTTCACTTGATCGAACTCAAGAGAACAAAATGTTTTGGGAGTGGGTTTTTCGTTTTGAAAGGGAAGGTTCGTAAAAGGTATTTTGTAACCTTGAATCCAAGTAAGTATTAACGTGTTATCTGTAATTGTGGACCATCTTTTGTAGAAATGTTTCAATCGGCCTCCAAGGCCTTCAAAGCTTACCTCATTTACTTACCCCTCCCTTTGCGGTTGTACGCCTGATTGTACGACCGATGTTTGTCCGAATTCCTGTGTCTGTCCCACTGGTTTTTCGGGCTGTAACCCTTCAAGGGACCCGTCTTGCCCATGCGACGGGCCGGGCGAACAAAGTTTTTTGTTTGGTTCTGAGTACTTTTTCCACGGGTCCCCTTTTGACCTCGAGGGTCTGACTGATTGCCAGGTGTCTCCAAGACTTTCCCTACATTTTCTAAGCTTCTGATAGACTTTATTTTTTCAGTCAAGTCATCACCAAAGAGGTAATCGGTAGGGGAGAATTTGTCTGAAAGCTCTTTCATATTCTCATTTAGTAATGGCAGTAAACAGTTTCTCCTTGAAACACTTGTCATGTAAAATACGTTAGTCAGTATTTTTCACGCATCTGACAAGCTTTTTAAAAGGTCTCGTTTAAAATCAATCGTTATTGACTCCGTGTCATTTAAGATGACCGAAATAGCTTTCCCTAAGGCACAAATGCCCTTGCCTAATTGATTTTGCCTTTCTGATTTAGCCGCGTCTCTTACTTTTGCCGAAGCATTTTTCTTTATAATAGCTGATATCTCAGGATTTAGCTTTGGGGCCGCCAAATAAGGCAAATTTGAGGGTATCTGATACTGGCCTAAGAGGTTATGGACTTCTTCCTTTGGTAAGCCTTTAAAAATGGCGTTTTTCCATCTAGGCACAAGTTCCGCATGCAATGCGAAACCAACGTTTGGCTCTTTCTCGGGATTTTTCCCTAGAATTTCAAGAACCTCTTCAGGAAGTTCAACGTTGTTATGAATTTGCAGCACGTCGTCGCTAGTATTTGTTAAATTAGCAGGGCTGCAATGACTCTCAACCAAGCTCCAAGCCTGGTCATGAGCCAAATCTCCGGCCAAAGATCCAATCCCGGCCCTGTTTTCCTCGTTGCTCCGAGATCGTGACCTCGAAGGTATATCGCCATCGTTAGTTCTCTCCCCGCTTAGGCTACGGCGACGGTGCGATCCTATCGCAACGTCCCGGCCATCTCTTTTCTCTCTCGATCCAATCGAGATCGAATGTCGCCTTCTCCGTCCAACAGAGCGCGACGTACGTCTACTTCGATGTGTGGGCCTGGACCGCGAGCGGGATCGTGGCGCAGGCGTAGATCGACGACGAATGGACGGCGAACGTGCCGAAGATCGATTTGATCGATCCCGGTCCTTTTCTAATTTATCAATTCGTTTTTGTAGTTCTAATAATTTCTTATGACTCTTAGAGCTATCAGATTCCGACGAAAGGCTTCTCTTCCGTTTTCTCTCTTTTCCCTTACCCATACTAAAGCTAGACAAGGGAACGAAAACGAATATTACACATTTACCTACCTTTTATACACGACATATATATACCTAAAATACAGGACATTGTATTAATGTATAGGTAAATAAATGATCTAAGCATGCAAGAAAGAATACTTGGGGTTAGTTTACTTACCGTATCGGGTTTTTAACACGACAACAATCGTAATTTAAGCAGATTTTGTGGAGAGCGTAACCTTGTAGGCGAAGCACAAAAGACACAATGACGGGACGTACGGATGCGACCGCTAGGAGCAGTGAGGCAGGGCCGGGTTAGGAAAATTGTCTTTAAACCTTGTGGGCTGGAGTGCCAGAATGCACATACTACGTTGTTAATTATGTGATATTGAGGAATGGACGCCGAAATATAATTAAAATCTTATTGCATGCAGAAGTAGATTTAGTACCTACATACTATAATATGCACCGGATTGGTATTTACAAGAGGAATGGCAACGGCCCAGCTACGTCGAAACACCGGTTCCCATTAGAAAACCGAAGTTAAGCGACGTAAGGCGATACTAGTGGATGGACGGGCGACTGGTTCGAAACTCTGTATAAAAAAATAAATAAATAAATAAATAAATAAATAATACATTTATTGTCCAACAGGTATACACCCAAACAAAAGACAATTAATAATAGAAATATTAAGATATAAATAACAATAACATAATATATTAAAAAAAACGATATGAAATATATTTAAATTCTTCGTCACGTTACTATGAGTACCGTTCTTCTGTAAATGTCCTTTAGTATCTCATGCTAGTGAGTGCCGAAACAGATCCAGTGTGTAGTGAAGAGCAATAATATTAAGGTTGTGACAGAATCTATAGAGCGGGGCTAACACTTAGAGGTACGAAGCGTTTGGAGGCGGAAAGTGTACTGATATCTAGTTGTGACCAGTGGAACGTGCCAGTTTAATTCGCTTAAGAGAAATGCACAGTCATCATATTGTTGGAAATCTTAAACCGAAATATTAATGATGAGCAAAGTCGCAGCTCTCTCAGCGAAGAAAAGCTCCACCTGTCAAGCAGCAACTGCTGATCTATACCCCGCTGTGGATACTGTGGGTAGACCCCATCAGCTCTAAAGGATAGCAACTTGAGAAATCTACGTTGCACCTATTCCAGACGTTGAATATGTATTTGGTATATCGGTGACCATACTACTGATTCGTAATCTAATCGCGATCGTACCAGGGAGTTATACAGAGTAGTGAGGCAAGATATATTTTGAAAGTTTTTAGTAGTACGACAGATAAATCCTAAAGTTTTGGTTGCTGGTTTACATACTTCATGAATATGAGACTGGAAATTTAAACGATTATCAATGTACACACCAAGATCCCTTACAACTTCAGAAGATTCAAGAGGGGTATTGTCTATATGGTGTATGTGACCTGTTACGTTGTTTTTTAGGGTGACAGTGAGCTTATTACATTTTTTGATGTTTAAAGGTAAATTATTTCGTTTGCTCTAAGAAGATATTTTATCCAAAGATTGTTGGATTAAAAGACAATCTTCAACACTATTGACAGTATGAAATATCTTTAAGTCATCCGCAAACAATAGAACTGGACAAGATAATTCCTTTATAATATCATTTATATATAACGAAAACAATAACGGTGCCAAATTGCGACCCTGTGGGGGTCCACTAGATGGTGAGAAAAGATAGGATTGAAGACCATGATACTCTACGTACTGTGTACGCCCAGATAGGTATGATTGTAGTAGACATTTCAAATTGGCTGCTAAATCCAAACTGAGAAAGTTTTGTTAAGAGTATTTGGTGGTCCATCCTATCGAAAGCTTTTGAAAAATCCATAGAGATTGCATCAACTTGAGAGGCTGCTTCGATAGCTTTATATGTATATTGCAAAAAGCAAACAAGATCTATTACTGTAGATCTATTTGGAATGAATCCATGTTGTTCATCCACAATTAAGCGTTTGACCTGATAGAACAATTTTTCAAAAATGCACATTTCAAATTTTTTTGCAAAGTTTGATATTATAGCAATAAAGCGATAATCCTCAATATTGTTAGTGTTTTCTGACTTAAAGATCGGACATATTTTAGAAGTTTTCCAGCACTCTGGAAATGTGGCAGTCTTAATGGCAACATTAAAAATAAAGGTCAACGGCTCAGCAAGCACCGATGCACAATCCCTTATTAAGAATGAAGGTATTTCATCAGGTCCAGCAGTGAGTTTGTCCTTCAGTTTCTTCATCGCTTTTAACACATCTGTTTCATCCAGTTGAGGTAGTGTTGTAAAGAAAGAGTTAGTGTCAGTGGTTGGCTCGCAAGAACTTTCCGAATTTGTATAAACACTGTTAAAGAATGTTGCAAACCCATTTACAATATCTGTAGTGTTATTTAGTTCATTATTCTCAAATGTCATAATACCTGGGATGCGACTAGAAACGTTTCTCTTATTGATATAGTGCCAGAGCATTTTAGGGTTTGTGCACAATGAATTTTGAATTTCAGCTAAATAGTTGGAATATGCTCGATCAATTTCTCGTTTGGTGATAGTTCGAAGATCTTTATAAGTTGCACATGCCGTCAGACAACCAGTTTTCTTCCATTTCCGAAAATTACGATATTTTTCTTTTAATGTTTTTATAATGTCGGTAGTAAACCAGGTAGAATACGTGCGCTTGCTTTTATGGGTATTGTAGATTGGTACATACTCATCCATTATTGTACTGATAGTCCTGTATAGTTCCGCGACTAAATCATCCACGTGGTTACATCCAGTATTCTTCAAGATTTCCCAATTTGTATTGCAAAGACGCTCATATAGAAGGGGGTAATTGGCTATCCGGAAGTTGTATTTTTTTATTGAGCTGTTTGGAGAAAAATTTGTGACAATTTCGGATTGAAGGGAAAGCTGAATATGCAGTGTAGGGTGATGATGATATTCTGGAACTAATTCAGTAGAATTAGAAACTGAACACTCCAAGTTTGATAACACCAAGTCCAAGAAGTTACCTAACGCATTTGGGATTACATTATATTGGTTTAAGTTGGAAAAAGACAAGAAATCCTGTAAAATCGTTAATTTTGTGGTCGGAACAGTATTGTTGAACTGGATATTAAAGTCACCCATTAATATAATTTTATCATTTTCATAGATATCTAATATAAGGATTCCAAAAGATCAAAAAACTGCCTGTAATCTTCAATTGGGGAGCCAGGAGGAAAATAGGCCAAGACTAAATTTAATTTTAATTCCGGAAGTACAATTTTTACTCCCAATATATCCATTACAGTTGAGGGTTGGAACCTTTGGTGTTAAACAGCAAAATAAAAACACTAAATTACCACAATACACCAAAACACTTTTACTTTTACACTGGACGCGCGTTTCGCTAACCATGTTAGCATCATCAGCAGATGATTATAAACTGAAGTTTAGAATCTTTTTTTTTTAGTTTATAATCATCTGCTGATGATGCTAACATGGTCAGCGAAACGCGCGTCCAGTGTAAAAGTAAAAGTGTTTTGGTGTATTGTGGTAATTTAGTGTTTTTATTTTCCCAATATATCCACTGCTCGAAGACAGTCATTAATCAAACCAAAATTGAGCCGAATCGATGGAATGTGATTTCGAACACCCAACAAAACTCCTCCACCCCTGGTTACATTTAAAAGTTCAATTTTACGATCTTCCCGATAGATGTCAAATCTATCATCAAACAATTCAGAATTATTGAGGTCCGACTGCAGCCATGTCTCAGTAAGTGCAACTACATGATGATCGGTCTGGCATATGGACCTATAGAACTCATGAGTTTTTGTATTTAAACCTCTTACATTTTGATAAACTAGTGTTAGTAAATTAGATGTATTTCTGTTGGACATGCTATTTAGTTTAAATGGTTTGGTTTTGCAGTAACAATGGATGGAAAGCCGTCTCTATGTATTATTTTCAGATTCGTTTCTCCAGCCGCCAAGCGATCATTAAGTTCCTGCTTCACCTTTCTTAAATCTTGTAGTTGAGCATACTAACATACGTTTTATCAGATCGCACTGATATCCTTTCATAATTTATGTTATTTGTTATTGATCTTGTATTGTGAAGAACTTTAGAGGCAACATCAGGTGAGCTACATTGTGTGTTCGGCATATGCGTACCTTTAAAACACCTATTTACGACTTAGTTCCTTAGTTGTAAAATTAATAGGGGATCCAATATTTAAAGAATTCAAAATTTGTATGGGATTTTTTTTCCAACAACTATGCATCGGTATTGCACATGCATCTGTGGACGATAGTGATCTGTGATGAAGTGATGTATGGTGTGTAGCAGTAATTAATTATTAAATTTAGTAAATATAAATATGTATAACGGACCTTATGGTACAAGCACCAAAAAATTCTATGTAGTAAATTAGGAGATAATTAACATGTTTAACAATTTTAAAAGACATTTTATCAAATACCTTTTAATGTTCTTCAATATTTTTTGATTGATTATACCAGAAGTAATCTTGTTCTAATTTTACATATAGGAAGAGTTCTTATCCGGCAACAACATTTTTATGGTTGTTTGGCATTTTGACACACCTTATAAACAGCTTTTTCTTGACGTAATATTATATTTTTGGTTTTAATTAATGATCTTTTTATCTAAATGTCAAACAAGACAGGTGTAAAATTATTAATAGCGCAAAGTTCCTCTATTAACTATAAACTCTATTTCCTATAAATACATTACTAGATAAATTTGTTTTGCCAATCTTGTGGTACGGATATGTGATATTGGTGGAATAATAGAATCTATAGAATGATTGAGACCAATCAATTTGACAGTTGTTATCATTGGTTCACTATATTTTTGTTTACATTTTGACTCTGCTGATGTCACCACAAAACATTTTACTTCTGCACTGGTCGCGCGCTTCTCTAACCATGTTAGCATCATCAGCAGATGTCTAAAACTGAAATGGTGTTTTAATAAATATATTATTATAAAATGGTGTTTTTGTTTTAATCATCTGCTGATGATGCTAACATGGTTAGCAAAAGGCGCGTCCAATGCAAAAGTAAAGTGTTTTGGTGTATTGTGGTGAATTATTATTATATTTTGCTGTTGTAACTGTAATCTGCTGATGTATCTTCTAATATATAAATTTTATATGTATATTCAGTAGGTCTGAAAATAGGTTGTTATCTATTTTTTACACCCCTAAGTGATAAGGGTGGTCCACCTCATATTTTTTGGACAAAAATTTTTATTTTTATTTTTTTATGATGTGGCATTAAAAAATACATACAAAACTAAATTTTCACCCTTCTACCATCAACCCCTATTTTTTAATAGCGATATTAGTAATTCAATAATTTTCAACCCCGTGAATAAATATGACTTGTCTCATAAAAATATTTATATGACACAACAACGTTTGCCGAGTCAGCTGGTTTTCTATATATTTCAAAATCTCCCTAGATTTGAGTACCTATATCTCATTGAGTATGCGAGTATTCTTTTATATATATTTTATAAATATTCTTGAATGGTTGATGGTCGCTGGACGGAGAGCTACGTACTTTTTGTAATAATTCAAATATAATGTACCAGTAATAACAAATGTTCGTTCCACATTAGTTTTTGTATCTGGAATATGCACGATTAATGAAGTTCATCCTCGATATTATTTAATGTCAAGTTGCATAGTTCTTCACGACGCGACGGCACGCTCCAAATATGCCGAAAATCACGGCAACTTTTTTCATAAGGTATATTTCATCCGACGCCTCTGCAAGAAATTTGTCGGTAATTTCGGTAATGTTCGGTAATTTCCCTGGTCAATATTTTCGACTTCTTTGGACGATATTCGACGATATCTCTCTCTCTCTCTCTCTCTTTATCCTATCGCTTCAAAAAAGCAATAAGCCTGTAATATTTGCTTATGTCCTTATTGTTAATCTTTATCATCGCCTTGATCATGGAATAATTTTATTTGACCAAAGCGTTGACGTATGGAAATCGTCAACGCTTTTGGCCTTTCTTCGAAGTATGCCAAAAGTACTTTTTCACTGAACTTGTCAGTGCCACTAACATTTTTTAGGTCACACCATCTCAAAAATCGATTATATGAAATCTCGTCCTGATCCTTGGACTTGCTGGGACTTGCTGACCAAATCAAAAGTAATTCTATTAGCCGCTTCTTCAATTTCTGCTGGGAAACACTCAGTTTCTTGATCAATTTTCATAATTTTACAAGAGTTGAGGCACAAATTTGACATTAGTTGACAACAAATGATCGAATGTTTGGAATCTTTCAATTGCCCTAGCAACCATAAACTTCATAATTAATTTGATTTCAGAATGACATAATATTATGAATTATTCATTAACGTAAAAAGTACTACGATATATACGAGCATAAACTTGTTTGTAGAAAAAATAGTATATGCTATGTGTGCTAAAAGTGATTTTATTTTTTTCGGAGGCTTCACAAGCTTCCCTTCTCACAAAATAAAATACCACTTTTAGCACTTATATCATAAATAACTATTCTATTAACTCTTTTTTCGAGTTTTTTGAAAATTTTATTAATTATTCTGCTATTCAGGGCGGAGACGAATCATCAAATCAAAGATTATTAAAATCGGTAAAGCCGTTCTCAAGTTATAATACACCATTTATATACTAACCAAACTTTGTTTTATTTTTTTAGATTTTAGTTTTTATTGTATTAATATGCATCAGTGCAAATCATATTGTACATAGAAAAATTGGAATATACGAGTTGAAATAGAGGCACGTCTTTACAAGAGAAAAAACTGTGTTAACCTTTTGTTCCTAAATGTCAGAAATGCGCTAACTTGAATTTTAATCCGATCAAATTTTAAAACGTTGACTTCAATCAGAAGTCCTATTCAAGCATTTTATTGTTGTCCGCTATATTATTAGAGCTTATAACTACACATTCTCTAATTTTGTTTGTATCTGACCTCAATGATAAATATAAATGACTTGTCACTACTGTTAAATACAGTTAGCTAAATGCACTTCAAAAAATCTACTATATTGTTACTATGTATTTTAACAAATTGGTCAAATACAAACAAATTTATAGCAATTGTATGGTTTGTTGTATGAATTGACAAGCACGGAAAATTACACAACACATCATTACCTTTGTCCCTGGGGCTTCGTTGATAGACAGGCTCAAATCTGAAAGCATTTGGGCTACTGTTGATTCTGTTCGGTCAATTGTGCAAGAAAAATGAAAGGATTTAACACGCCAACAACCGTTGAGATTTTCTTTAGAGTAACAAGAACGTTACTAGTTCTGTTGGAATGAGATAATTGTACTTATAGTCTAGAGAGTTCATAACTCTAATTTTCTGAGATTATTACCACAAAAAAATTGAAAGCAAATTATCTTTGTCATTTTAAAAACTGTTCGATTCAGAAGTAATGGAATAAATAATATTTTTTAGAAAATAATTTTATTAAAAAACAATATTTTAGTTAAATGAAAAAAACTATAAGCTTGAAAAGGAAGAAAACATAAATTTAACGTTCTTCTTCTTAACGTTACGTTCAAAATACATTATTTATTATTTAATATTTTTCTTCAAATTTGGAGATGGGTTGTTATTTAGAAATCTGTTATTTTAGAACTGCTTTTAACATAGAGGAAAGTAACCAAATATAGAATACCATTTAGTTTCTGTGTTATA